ACGAGGCCTAGAAAAATCAGTATTACTATTCTTCAAAAATTCGTGTCGAACCAGCAATTTTTGTTATAACTTGTTCCGCATTCGTTTGAAAGCGTAAGTTGCGTTATGGTGTAATATATGTAATCTTTTTTTTTTTTGCTTCGTCGAAATACACAATTAGGCTGTCTGCTTCTTCGTTGAAAGAATAATAAAATAAAGGTAATAATAACTTTTAATCAGATACAAAATTTTAAATGATACAAATGGACGTGAATTTATTAAATAGATAATCGGATACGTATTATCAACTTATAGCATTTACTTAATTTAATAATATTGAAAAATCATTTTATGTTGTTAATTTTCATACCGCATTCAAGTTGTTTATTCCAAATCAAGATACTGTGTTTTATTTATAATTTCTCATTTTTTCCATATATTCATTTGTTACTCTGGATAGAGTTGGGATAGAAGAAGGCTAAAAAAGATTATGAGTAATAATTGTTATTACTTATCCACTATAAAAAAAAATACATACATGATTGTTTGTGCTTGTCTTTATACATGAAAAAGTATAATTAATACGTAGACATAATAAAGTATTGATTAAATTTCAATGCAGTTTAGTTTAGCCAGAAACTTTTGAGAAAAATAATTTAGTCTCAGCTAAAAGGTGAGGAACTTTAGCAATGCCAAAGTGTTAAATCTTTATTTTAGGTTTGCGGGAGAGAAGTGTGTCAGATCATCATTTAGGAGTTGATTCTACCTAATCTTACAGTTACTGGATATAGAATTTTCTCTAAAATGTCTTTATAAATAGAATTAGAAAGCAATCAGAGAATGCAACCGCTCCCCCCCCCCTCCTCGCAATGTTTTTCAGTAATCAACCTAAAGTATACACCGAAGATATTATTTATACATCATACAATTCCTCACTCTCAGAAATGTAGGTCAATGGGCCAAGATCCTCTTTCTGTAGAAATGTGGGTCTAGGGGCCAAGATCCCCTTTCTTTCTGAATTTATTTTCGAGTTTAACGTATTATTAAATCGTCTTTGGGCTCTATTGACGTATGTTTACTAAAAGTTATACGACTGGTCCATGGAGGGACACTCAACCTTTGAACTAAGTTTAATCATATTTAGATGTAAACATTTCAAGTTATCTTCAAAACGCATACAGAGGAGTGAAAAACAATAACCTTGCCCGCCGGGTGTTGGTAAATATTTATATGATTATGCTTCTTCGTGACCCCTATGTCAAACCAATGCTTTCTTTATAATTCTATTGAAGATTAAACTCGGCTATTCGTCCAGTTTTCTGAAAAGGCCCCTAAAACAAGGTAATTGAAGCATTGTGTATGTTCAGCATATCCCGATCAAGGTTGGAATCAACTATATTTTATGTAAGTTTGTCTCACTAATTCTTTGATAAATAATAGGTCTTGATTCTAGTTCGTCAATGTTTTGGCCCGTCATGGCCAGGTGTTTAGGGCGCTCGACTCGCAATCAGAAGATCGCGAGTTCGAATCCCCGTCCCACCAAACACGCTCGCCCTTTCAGCCGTGGGGGCGTCATAATGTGACGGTCAATCTCACTAT